TCTCTCTCTCTCTCTCTCTCTCTCTCTCTCTCTCTCTCTCGCCACCCTCCTGTCTCAGCCTCCTTCAGTGCTGGGATTATGATGTGTATGCCTGTGCTGTTTTGTTGAGATCTGGGCGCTTGGGAAGAACAGCTATTTCTGTCTTTTCCACTGGCTTCACAGAGGTCAGATTTCACTAACACGCCCCACAGACTTTGTACCTTTTAAACTGTCCGGCTTTGTCAGCGTAATTTCCCATCTGCCCGTTTCCTGTCTGAGCTCGAAGCCTCTGGCTCCCTCTGGCGTCTGTGCGCTGTACTTCAGTCTCCCTGGTCGTGACTCCTGCTGCGCTCACCTCTTTGTTTTTTGGTTTTCTCGTTCGTTCGTTCGTTCGTTTGTTTGACAGGGTCTCGCTTTGTAGCCCAGCCTGGCCTGGAGATCCTCCTTCCTCAGCCTCCCTGGTGCTGCAATCACAGGCATGCACCACCACACCGGGCTCTAGTGCTGCTGGTTCTCAAGAGGGACCCAGGCCTGGGCAGCCCCTTCGCCCCACGCTTTTCGGTCCAGGCGCCGTGGGTCCCCCAGGGCGCCGGGCGGTCCCTGTGCGCACGCGCGGGGCTGGCGCTGCAGCTCGGCTGCCCCCTCCTCTCGGTGGCCCCACCCTCCAGAACTTTCTTTTTAAATGCGACGTAACGTTTTGGGGCTTTTTGGATCGGGCATATTTTGCTAACTTTCCTACAGCTGAAAACTTACTTAACTATTTCCATCGCCTGCCAGTAAGTAACTGAGTGGGGATATTATCATTCACCTTCCTACTAACAATACATCACTGCCTGGTTTTGTTTTGGGTCCCCCCACCCCCACACTGGAGGCTGAACCCAGAGCCTTTGCACATAGCTGCATCCCCAGCCCTTTTTTATTTTTTATTTATTTTTGTTAAGTCACTAAATTGCCCAGGCTGGGCCTGAATTTATAATCCTCCTGCCTCAGCCTCCTAGAATGCTAGGATTACAGGCATGTGCCACCATGCCTGGCAGAAGTCATGGTTTTAATACTAAGTAAGCAGTAAGAAAATCTAAGAGAACAAAGCTTTTTGTCCTCTGTTTTTGTCACTGATGTTGCTTTTCACTCCTGCACCCTCATGAGAGCAGATTTCTGATCGAGACCTTTTATGCGCTAACCCAAGCTCAGCCGCTTACAATACTGGCCGACTGTTAAGACAGGCACAATCGCAAATTTCCAATGATGAATGTCATTATATTGTATACCTAAAATGTACCAATGATTAGAATGAATAATCGATAATGTAAAATAGGAAGAAA